GTCACAAAATCAAGTATCGTTCAAGCTACTTGCCAGGTACTGGCATGCCAATTATCGTCTATACAGGTGATTCTTGACGGACGGATCAACAGCTTTGTAGTTTGTAGAGACCTCAATAGCTTTCGTTTAAGCGCAAAGTATGTTGCCCGATTTTCTATAGTTTTGTACGAAATGTAATTTTATTTATAATATAATTACCGCTATTTGCATATGTATTCCCGCCCAATAATAACTGAAAAAACGCTTTCAGACTTATTTTCCTTAAATTACATGTGAACTTTTTACTGAATAAAAAGGTAATTTCAAAATGACATGACTTTGACAGTTGACATTTAAATATTGTTATGTTTTGTGTGAATTAATTAATTATTAGAAAGTCGGATAAAATGAAGAAATCTTACATACCGAAAATGGACCGGAACACTTATATTGACAACTGTAAATATACTTTTCTTTTTTGTAATAAAAATTTTCGAGTTGCAGTTTTCGGGGATTTTTGTATAATGTAAATATTTTATAAGTGTAACCTCATAAAAAGTTATCTAATGAAGACAGTGTTTTGTTTCTTGTGGTCTTATTACCTTGGGAATGAATTCAGATATAATAGCGATTTATGGAAGGGCAGTACTTTCTGTGCTAATTGTAGGGACAAGAGCTGGCCGATGGTCAAAAAACTTCGATTTCCAAGTAAACAAATATTTAATGAATAACCTTGTTTCAGATTTTGCCAGCTCAATGGTACCGTTTCAAAGTACTTTCGAACAATCGAGTTTAAAAATTATCGAATTAGACGATTCGAATAGTTCAGATTCTGAATGTAATTATGATCAAACACACGCCTGGTGTTATGTTGATAAACATTTACCAAAACATAACGAATCAAAATACAAAGCAAATACAAAAGCGAGAGCGAAACGACGAATGAATAGAGTATCACCCGAAATTGTTAATAAAAATATTAACTATGTAACTAATGAAAATTATTTAGCTGAACCTGAAAATAGTAATAATGCTTTATTTAATGAAACCGCAGAAAGGATACCAAATCCATTAAATTGTTTTACAATAATTAACAACGATTTGGCTGATTCAGATCAAACATTATCAAGCAATGAAGGTATGAAAATAATAGAATGTGGAGACGTAATACTTGAAAATGATTACAAAAAAAATTCAACAGAAACACATTATAACAGAAATGTTGACAGCAAACGTACAATATGGATATATTCATTTAAAAATAGAAATGCACTCGCTGACGACGGTTCAAATGTATCCACAGAAGAAAGCACGTCTTCTTCGTCTTTCGATAATACAGATTATAAAGAAAGGATAGCAACACCAATACCATCTTATATACCGCGATTAAATTTTTACGTAGCGGCAACACTACCACCGGTGACAGAAGTAACAGAACCTTTGCATGCAACACCAGATAATACAGATAAAACAGAAACGTTAGTATCAAAATTGCAAATAAGTCCTAAACATTTAGAACAGGGTAACCCTTTAAGTACATCTGTTCCTTCGCAAAACATTATAAATTGGATGGCATTATCTCCTAGAGAACGTAGAAGGACAATTAGAACTAAAATAACTGAAGATTTAGATAATTCTGAAAAGAATAGCGTATTAAATAAACAGACGGAAAAGTTACCTCTAAATATAGATAAGGATTTAACATATATTATAACTAAAAAAAATGAAGTTCAAGAAAACGAAATAAAATCAGATATAAGTAACGATCAATTAGATGAAAAAGGTGATCACAGCAAAATACCATTAAAAAAGCCACAGATTATACTAAAAGCAATATCATCAAACAAAATTATTGAAAAACTTACCAGTGACGAATGGATTGGTCATGAAAATGGACAGAAAGAAAGAACTCTAGATATAGATAACAAAATTATTGAAATACAGGAAAAACCTGTTAGTTTCATAAGATGTGCGGGCGATAGACTTTTTAATAAAAATATGACATTATTGAAACCAGTAGAATGGACGCAATACCTACCAATAACCGAGAGCTTGCCTTCTTTACACCTTTCCTTACCATCTGATATAAACGATGAGAAGAGATCATGGTTCAAATACATAATAAAATATTTTCAATGCTGTAAATGTAAATAAATAAAACAAACATCTTCGAATTGGTGAATTTATTAAATTCAATCACAAATTTCCAATTAATGGAGTACTTAAACGAAAAAAACCTGTTATTTTAAGGTACTTTGAGAGAAAACAATCACGACATACGTCAAACATACTATGTACACGTGTTCATACTATCACAAAGTTTGCCAACATATAAAGTAACTTTTAATGGAAATTACATGAAAAAATACTTCAATACCTAATTTTAAACATATACAGACGAATAAATTTAATATATAACTGGATATAGATAAATTACAACTAAGACTGTCAGTGTTACCTTAATTTATTTCCCTTATTTTAAATTGAATAGAATTTTCAATCTGGCAACATTAAATGCATCTTTGAAACCGTTTAATTGCTAACTGTATTGAATTACGAGATTTACGATGTAATTTAACTATTAGTGAAATACAAATAACATACTAATAAGTATTATTAGAAATCGATAGTTATCTGGCCCAGGCATTTCTAACTAAATTTTGACAGCGTCACTGTCAATGTCAAGAGTGTCAAGATTCATCATCATCAGCTATATGTCCCCACCGAGGGGCTCGGAGCCTACCCTAAGTAAAGGGTGACTAGGCCATAGTCAACCACGCTGCACTGTGGGTTGGTTGACTTCACACATATCTTTATATTTCTTTGCTTATATGTGCAAGTTGCATCACGTTGTTTTCCTTCACAGTAAGAACGTCGGGTAAATTATGTACATATGAAATATCGAAAATCACATTGGTACGGCGGGATTCGAACCAAAGACCTGTAGTTTACAAGTCAAGTGCTTTAACCACTGAGCCACCGACTCAACGCTCAAGATTCATACTGTTGTTTTAATTTTCTATTGTCTTTCCAGTGCCTTACCGGGCCAGATAATTTAGTGCGACTATAGTATATATTTGCGTCAGTTATACGAATGCACTACGAATTGAATATACGTTACTTATATACATGTAATATTATAACTACTATATTGAAATGAAACATGCAAAATCCTTAAAATATTTTATGAGAATCTTTCAAATGTTCTTTATATATCAAAATACTTACAGAGAAATGATTAAATGACGAATAATACAAAATTGAGTCCAGCTCAAACTTAGGAATGCTGTTGTTAAAAAACTTGTAATATTTTGTAACTAAAATATTACTTTAAAATACTAATGTAGAAGATCTGTTGATAATTGTTAAATGTCCATTATAACTATATCAAACTAAAAAAATAAAAATCCTGGCCTAAGGACGCTTTGACTTCTGTCACTTTTTAATATGCTAAATTAGTTTCGTATATTTCCGCAATATTTAATACTAGCTGTTGCTCGCGACTTCGCCCGCGTGAAATTAAAAAATAAAACCATAGCCTATGTTACTCACAGATAAATTACCTTTCTAATGGTGAAAGAATTTTTAAAATCGACTCAGTTTTTACGTGAATCGAATACATACAAAAATACAAATCTTCTTTATATTAGTATAGATAAGACTAAGTATGTACTAGCTTTCGCCGTAACTCCGTCCGCGTGGAATTAAAAAACAAAACTATGTGTTCTTCCTCTGCATCTGTACCAGTCGAGATCTGTTCAGCAGTTTAGGCTACAAACTCTAACATCCATAAATCTAAAATTTACCATTTATCTATACTTATTATAAAGAGGAAAGATTTGTATTTTTGGATGTTTTATATGTATTTTCACGAAAAACTGAAAATAAATAAATAAAATAAAATAATGTTTAATCCCTGTCAACACTACAATTATGAATAAAAAAAGTAATTAAACACAAAATAATGAGAAACGTAACAAATGATATGAAAAAAAAAAGAAATATTTAAAATTAACGTTGCAATGCTGACTGGATTGGGTCCTCGTTCAGCTATAAATGCTGGATGCTCCTATTGAAGTACCAGCGCTGATCTTCCGCGAGAACCCTTGGGATCATCCACAAACTACTGGACCTATATTAAAAATTCTTTCTCCATTAAAAAGGTAATCTACTTATTATAAAGAGGAAAGATTTGTATTTTTGTATACATTAAAATAACTCGAAAACTACTGGACCGATTTGAATAACTCCTTTAAGGAAGGTAATTTATCTGTGAGTAAGGCTTTTTTTATTATTTTTTTAATTTTACGAGGACAGTCACAAGCAATAGCTAGTAATATAAATAAGATGGAAAATGTAATATAGTGAAGATTTTCATATTCTCGGTTAGAATCTGCCTTCACAATATATTAAAAAAAGCAATGTTTTAACTTATCTTACTTGAAAATATTCAAATTCATTGCATTTAAGTTGTACATTTATGTAAAATACAAATTTCATTTAATTCTGAATTCACAATTTTTGACTGAAAGTGACTAAAATACTGAAGACGAGATAACTTTTTTAATCCTCGAGATAAAATTGTTGCTTACATTCCAAGTGAAAATACTTAAGTTTCAAGTGCTTAAGTTTTTCGTATTCCAAAAGATAACATCGAGATATTAATGTTTTCTACTCGAGACGTTTTACAAAAGATGTCTCTTTGAAAAAAATAGAAACATAAATGCTTGTATAAATAATTTTTAGAAATACAACAGAAAACTGTCTAATTTGTTACCGATCGATTGTCAATTACGTCACTTTATAAACTCACTGGGTTTATAAATTTTAAGAAAATGTGGTTGAGACGTCACAATAGATATTTCTATAAGGATATCTGACCCGATAATTATACAACGCCCTCTGTTAGTCAAAAAAGATCTTTTTTGTTTTGTACCAATCTATATTATAATAAAGCGTAAACACACACTTCTTTGT